AGCACTATTTACTCCGTTCCAATTTTGAAGGGTTAAGGGTGCTGGTGACATTACAGGCACAGCGGACTTGTCAACTTATGTCTCAGAGTGATGGGCGCAGTGGCACTGCGACTGTTATGAACAGGCGTGTTACTTAACACCAACCAGGCCCATGACTTGTTCGTCCTGCCACTTGATATTATATTAACCATATTATGCACCGCGTGAATTTGTAGTCAGATTGATTTGTCTGACACCCGTAGGTGCAGAGTAATACAAATTATATTAAAACGATAATCATTGAACGTTATCACAATCGCGTTGCGACTTTTCTTAGGAGCCAATTAATAGGGAATAATTATCAACCACTAACGCTACTATATTCACTACAAATGTACATAATACGAAGTAAATAAGATTGTGGCCGAGGATTTTGTGTAATCAAATAAAAGTCTCCGTGCACATCGTTTGTTGTAAAAGAGGATTAAGAAGAAAGGTAAAGGCCCAAATCGGCCTGTATTTTCTACAAATATTATGCTTTACAAGCAGTTTAGTTAAGCAGTAACGTACTTGATTTTCAATGGTATACCGGTCAGAATTTTATATGAAGTCCAACACGGCATACGTGTCGCTTCGGAAATTCAGCAGAGAGTGGCGACGGAAAGAAGAAAAGCAAAAGTGATGAAGAAAAGGAATTAAAGAACCTTTCCAAGTTCTATTTCATCCAATTCCATTCCAAAAGCCAGGAACCAGAGAAAAGGTGGGATGACGATGAAAGAGGTTGCATCGTCACAAGACCTATTCTATAAAGGTTACTTTGAATAGCAAGATAACGCTGGAAATATACTTATGTTATTCTGATACCTTAGTTTTTTTTTTATTAATTATTGTCTCTGTACAGTATGGTGTTATTGGTCATCGTATTGACACTTTTCGCTCGTTTCTTTTTATTTTATTCTTAATGTAATATAATGTAACGGGATGAACAAGTGGTGCGCCTAGTGGTAAGCGACACGCCCGACCATAACAGTTGCATTGCCACTCAGAGCTTTAAATCACGAAGTTATGAGGTGCACTACTACTGCGTCCGTCACTTTGAGACATAAGTTACATGTTAATAAAAATAGAAGTAAATTAATTTGCTACTCCGCGACCCCAGTGAAGGTTAAATCGTGCAAAATAGCTGCGCTTGTATTCAATATTTTTTCATGCAGTTAATTATCCCACCCTGCTTGACGCTCGGCCGAGCGTCGAGCAGTCAACAGCCCCTGAGGATGCCTCGTGGAGAGGCGAAACACGTGTCGGGTATATTTTTGGTGATGGTTTGCGACTATAGTTGCCCTTGTGTTATTTATTTTATTAATTTTATTCGGAGGGAGCAAAGTAACGTCTGAATCTATTAATTACATAAGTTACATGTACCTGTAGTTTCACCAGCCCCCTTAGATACCCTTCAACACCGAAATGCAGTAATGCTCACATTACCGCTTGGCGGCAGAAATAGGTAAGATGGCAGTAGGTACTTTTTTTTTGAGTAATAAGAGACGGGACGAAGAAGTCGTGCGCCTGATGGTAATCTACACGCCTGTCCATAACAGTTGCAGTGCCACTAAAAGTTTTAAATCGCAAAGATCTGAAGGGCACTGCCACTGCGCCCGAGACGTAAGTTGACAAGTCCCATGTGCCCGTAATTTCACCAGCGTACTTACTACGTACTGTAGACTAGGCTGTACTCTATGAGTAGAATCACTGGCTGAGTGAATAGATTCATATTTAGAATGCTTTGAAATAGAGCTAAGAGAAAAGAATGGAAGATCTTGACAATTAAGATTATTGATTTGTAACCCTAAACATGTAAAAAGTGAAATAAAGTATATTTTTAAGGATTATTCCGGTTTATATTCATAGAAGTACCTCTCGCTACGCAACACGAGCTAACGCTTATTACAGTACTTCCCTGAACGAACTCTTTCACAAGGAGCTACTAAAAGCTATAATATAGAGGTAGTTTAAAATGGAACACAAATATAATTTTAAACAATATTTTTTTAGAACATTAAGTTTAAAGAGATTAGATAAAATCTGGAACATACGCATAAATGGAGTGACTCTTGGGTTCTCCGGTAAAAATGTGTGTTCCGCAGGGCTCAATACTTGGACCTTTCTTATTCCTCATTTATATGAATGATCTACCATTCTTTGTTAAGGACCTTTGCAAATTGTGTTGTTGGCTGACGACTCATCCTTGATTTTTGAAACAGACAGACATGACGTGACGTTAACTATGACAATATTAATGATACCCTTTCAAATGAAGTTTATTGGTGAAATATTAACAATTTATTGGTCAACGCCAAGAAGACAAAGTGTACTAAGTTTGAATCACCTAATGTAAAATCGACTAGCCCAATCATAGAAATAAATGGAGAAAAGTTGGGCCTTGTTAATAAAGCTGTCTTTTTAGGAGTGACCTTAGATAGTAAACTCCAATGGTTTCCACATATATCTTCCTCGACCAGTAGATTAAGGTCTGCTGCACACGCAGTCTGTACAATACGTGAACTTACCGATGTTGCTACCGCTAGACTTGCTTACTTTAGTTGCTTCCATAGTATAATGTCCTACGGGATTCTTGTGAAGGGGTAAAGTTTTTGCAACACAAAAAAACCATATTTGTGTTGCAAAAACGATCGATTACCTACCTACATTAAAGTTTAGGTTCTCGGATTTCTCTCAGAGAAAAGTTTAAGTACACTGGTATCATACAAAATATTTGAGTAAATGTACTGTGGTACATTTACTCAAATGTTTTGTACGCCCGTAAAAATGTACATAATTTCGTTAAGAAAGAAGATGTCCATAATATTAACCTTAGAACTAAGTCCAAACTCATAGTACCACGTTTAACTAAGGTAAACGATTCTTTTATGGGGAACTGCATAACGTTTTTACAATAAGATTCCGGAGCATACATTAAGATTACCATTCCTAAGTTTAAAACTTACATTAAAAGTACACATAAGGTGTACTATAAGTTTCCGGAACTAGTCACTTACATAAACAATATTTAAAAAGTAATTAGAACATTTGAAAATGGAACTCTTTGGCTGTAGAATACAGTTTGTTTCATCTGACTGTCACTTGTTTTTACATTGTGGCGTTAATTTTGAAATTGGTTGTCTACATCACCATGGATTTAACTCGTGAAAATTTTGGTTCTATGATTTTCTACGACTTTAAGTGTAATTTAACACCTCAAACTGCTTTTGGCGATGAAGCACCGTGTAAGACATCTATTTATAGCTAGTTTGCAGAATTCAAACGCGGTCGTGTGAATCTCAGTGACAAATTACGTGATGGTCGCCCGTCCACTGCTGTGAACAACAAATACATCGATGCTGTGCGCCGTATGGTCAAAACAGACAGTCATGTGACATACCGTGAGATATCTTTAGGCATATGCATGAGTCAAATACAATCAATTCTACACAAACATTTGGGTGTGAAAAAGCTGTGCTCTCGGTGGATCCCACACAATTTTAATGAGGCTCAAAAAACTGATCGCGTCACTTGGTGCAATGCCATGCTTACCAGATTCAACGAAGGGGCATCAAATGTGGCGTGGGACATAGTAACAGGTGACGAAACATGGATTTATAGTTACGATCCCAAAACAAAGCAGCAATCGAGTGTGTGGGTCTTTCGAGATGAGCCGAAACCAACCAAAGTGGCGCGCGTGCAAAGTGCCTCTAAGCGGATGATTGCTTCTTTTTAAAATAAAACTGGACACGTGGCTACTGTTGCTTTGGAGAATCGTTGTACCGTGAATATGTTTGCCGGAAGTTATTGACAAACTCCGCAAAAATAACCGTAAATTCCTTATCATCTTGCACCACGATAATGCCAGTTCTCACATGGCCAGACAGACAAATTAATTTTCGAAGGTGAACAACGTTGACCTTATGAGCCATCCCGCATACTGTCCCGACCTGGTACCTTGTGAGTTTTACTTATTTCCAAAAATTAAGGACCAGTTACACAGTTACAGTTACAGTTACGCGGTCAACGATTTTCATCATCTGAAGAGGCTGTCGAAGAGTATGAAAAATATGTTTCAGAGATTGTCACGGAGGAGTGGCATAAGTGTTTCCAAAATTGGTTCATTCGTATGAAAAAGTACATTAACGCTAACGGAGAATATTTTGAGAAACAATAAATTCATTTCTGACCATGTATAGTATCACGTAATTGAAAAGTCATATTGCAAAATTGTAGACTACGTGTTACATAAGGATATATGGAAAGACAACGTGAGGCTAGATTCCACACAAATATGATTCTCAATGTATTCTATAGCATTTAAGTTTATTTAAAAAGAGCAATTCCTAGAGTTTCATGCTCGTTCTTTTCAGCGTAGTGAACGAGCAGTATCTTAAAAAATGACGTTTTCAAGTGTAAAAACTTTACCTATGGAATAAATGATTATTTGACTGTGACTTTGAGTCGACGTTGGGAAAAGGACTGTCAAGATAAGCTGCACAGAAATGGCTCACAGCAACTTGATGGATGCTGGAGCAAGGCTAGCCACGACTATGCCTTGATCTGCCGATCAAGAAAGAGATTTGGATGCGTATACAAAGTACTGGCCTGACATGCGCCAAAACGGCAGTAATTGTAGTCGAGAGGAGACTTTGCCACAATAATAATGTAATTAAAAAACAAACAAAAGCTGAGATTGTTTAGAAATGTTCGCAACAGAGTGAACGTAATTGTTATGAAAACTATGACTTTTAGTTACTTATAAAGTGCCAGACTGGGAAACAAAAAATTACCGCTTTCACCGTAAATTGACCCAATTATAGGTTAAAATAATCTTCGTCGTTTTTGCAATACGAGAAAACATCTATTTTGTTTCGCAGATCGAAAACATGAAACTTTACAAACCGACGACAAAAGGCGGCTTATACTCGCTAGCCTAGCGTTAGCAACAAAACAGCCGACGGACGGCGCTTGGTGTAACCATGGAACGGATGGATACCGCTCACAGTGACGTCAGAGGCGCGGAAGGTGAGCGCTCGCTTGCCACGCCCAGCCCCGCCCCGCTGTCGGCCGTAGCTGCCGAGGCCTGGCTTGCACAGCCCTCCCGTGTGCTACATACACACCGACAGATTTTCTGTCCCATTTGCTTGCTACTGTGTTGAAATATCTATGCGGATGAGTTTAACTGTGCCCAGTGTGCATTTTTATGTGAAATTCTCGTCTTTTACCTAAACATTCCAATTTCATGAATTTGCACATAACAAATACGAATAGATGACAAATATGACGTTTTCAGAATGACAATTCGACCTTTTTTAAAACATATTGATTCAAATACACACATCAAAAATTGTCTAGTTAAGATATTAAGATAGAAGTTAAGATATTTTTTTAAATATTTCATTACCTTGTTAAAATTAAATAAAAAAAAAGAAACACAACATACATATTTATTAAATTATTTATATACATACTTACTTTTATTTTAAATTATGAAATTGAGCAAAAACCTATTGATGTTAAAAAAATTAATAAATACCTGATAGAATCGGTAATTGGCAAAAACGTGTTTGATCCCTAGATACTTTTGATGTGTAATAATTTATAAGTATAATTTACTTAGGAGTCGTATCCACTACCGTAGGATATAGTGATTAAATTAGATTCTAACCGCGTTATAAATAACCGTTGCGTTGTATATAGGTATGTAGGTACAGCCAAAAGCACACTCAGCTGGACACTTTGTATTTTGGACCGTTGTTGTTATAGGAAACGGCCTTAGAGGTTAGAAAAAATATAGTCTAAGGAAGCGGCATAGAGTTGAATTTAAATCTTAAGTGTCAAGCTTGACGTGCTCTTGATTCTATACAACAAAAAAAAGTATATGAACTTATAAAATGAAAATTCCCCTTTCAACTCTTATAACATTAAAAAATGTAACTCGACGATAAACACACGTTAACAATATGCTGCCAAAACGTAGATAAGAAAATATAATCCTACGTGGATTCGTGGAAATACAACTATTACGAGATCATCCTATCGATAAGCGAGTATTTGCATACTCAAACGTACTCTCGTGGCTGTCTCATTCGATGACGAATGGACTTTATGACCCACATCAGCGTGAAAAAACTCGAGGGCGATACGTGAATGGTGTGAAACTCTCTCCATTATCCTGCGGCCGGCCCCCGCTGCGACATTCTTGCCGACGCTTTGTGTGCCCACCAGATAGCTCCGAGATACTGTTCACATCGCTGACGTACACACGTAATTTATATCCAATGTTTTTTTGTCAGTCAGTTGGTTTAAAAATAGTACCCACTGACTTTTGAGGATCGCCAAAAAAGTTGAGGAAATCCGAGATTCCCTTTCAAAGACGTATAATTTTTTATATAAAAGCAAACAAAAAAAAAGAAAATATCGTTCATAAAAACAGCAACGAGAAGCAATTCAAAGTTTTCGAGGCAGTTGTTGGCACAAATATTTTGAATAAATTGCGTCCAATTTTGGCGTGATTTCTTCCGCTCCGCCAAAAATTTTTCCTCCTTGTGAATACAAAACGAATGCAAAATCTTTAGTCGAGGAGAACGCATCCCCTTCTCAACACGTCCGTCTTTGTACAAAATTACGACACGTACATAAAACTATGTACCTACCTACAAAATAAGCTAGCTACCTTGTTGTGTAATGTTTGTGAAATATACTTGGTCTAGAAAAATGATGACTAATATATATATATATATAAAATTATTAAAAGTCGTTCACCACAAATTTATAAACGATTTTATGCCTCCGATTAAATGCATTCAAAGATCATTCCTCAAAATCTTTGAATGGTTGAGAGCTCGCGCCGAAGAAATTCTCTAAAGCGCACCCACCCACTAAACTTAATCTCCCAAATACATTTATCATGTTCAGCCGATAAAAATGCCATTGAGATCAGCCGTACACAATGAGATACAAGCTCTCGGTACCTGATATGAGGCGGAAAGTCAATTATATTCAAATATAAATCGGATTTGCAAACGTAAGCTCATGACAATGGCGTAGGCAGGCGCCGTGATACCTTTGGGTGTCTCTCTGTTGGATAATGGTCGGAAGCCCGGACAATAGCGGAACAGTTTGGTGTAGGACAAAGCGGACGAGTGTCCGCGATCACGCCTGTCACGCGGTGGGTAGACTTTGCGCCACTGCGATACCCGCATGCCGTTTGTCCTTCCTTAGCATTATTTAATATATAATACTACTTTTATGATGATCTATATATAATATTCTATTTAGGATTCCAGAACATTTATTTTGCTCCAATACCTAAATAACATCGAGTTAAAAGGATAGCCACTAATCGTGGCCTAAACCTATACCTCTACAAAAATTGCATCTGGAAAATGACCTTAAAGTGTGCCAGTGTAGAGATTTATTCGAACGTACTACTTCACTGTTATTATAAAATTACTTTAATATACTTAATTCTTACTCCAAACTCTATTATTAAACCATACTTTCGTGCGTGTCATCTATGGCAAGCGAGGGATCCCGATTTTCGAGTCACGCCCGTCAAATCAACGCACAATGTGCAGTTCGGGATGGTTTTAGCTCTGCCAAAACTTTACTTACTATTCACCCCGATATATTATGAACTCAACTGCACATGTCTTTGTAACGTCTATTGAATATCAATGACATGAAAAAAATAACAACGATGTAGGTAAGAATCATTTAAATTTTTGTAACATATTTTTTGGGGTATTTTAATTGTTCTGTTACTGTAAATTTGTTTAAAATGATACTTGATATAATGACAAGTTTTGTAAATACCTAAGTAGTCAATTTATGAGCAAATATTAGGGGTTAAAGTATGAAATTGCCGTTTTATTGCAATAGGTTCTTTGAATTTTCATAGAATCTTCATGGTTTGAGGTTTTCGAATGAAACTTTTTTCAAATGGTTTCTGTGATTTTTTTTTTTTAAATTTGAAACATTTGAATATCGACTTTCAATTGTTTTTGTTATTCAATTTAGACAAGAAAGATGGATACTGCGAAAATTCGAGTGATTTTTGAATACGAGTTCCGACGCGGAACTAACGCGGCAGAAACAGCCCGCAATATCAATGCTGCGTTTGGAGAGGGGTCTACTAATGAACGCACCGTGCGATTTTGGTTTAAACGCTTTCGTGATGGAAATTTCGACTTAAAGAACGAGCTACGAGGAAGACCGCCCACACAGGTGAATAACGATGAATTAAGAGAGATAGTGGAAGCCGATCCTAGTCAAACTACCCAGGAATTAGCGGCATGGTTTAACGTTACCTTACCCACAATATTGACTCACTTGCGTCAAATCAATAAAATAAAAAAATACGAAAAATGGGTGCCTCATGATTTGACTGATCTGCAGAAAGAAACGCGTGTTGAAACTTGTGTTGTCTTGTTGAACCGGTACAGAAATGAAGGAATATTGGATCGAATTGTAACATGTGATGAAAAGTGGATTCTTTATGATAACCGGAAAAGAAAAATGCAATGGCTGACCCCAGGTCAAATGCCACAACAGTGTCCTAAAGCAAAACTAACCAATAAAAAGGTAATGGTAACTGTTTGGTGGTCTCAGCATGGTGTTATTCACTATAGTTTTCTCCGATCTGGTCAAGCAATAACGGCAGATGTCTATTGTGCCGAGCTCCGAACCATGTTGACAAAACTAGCAGTAAAACAGCCCCGACTCATGAATCGATCTTCACCATTATTGCTCCACGACAACGCGAGACCTCACACAGCACGAGAAACCATTTTGACCCTTCAGGAACTGCAGTTAGAAACCATTCGTCATCCTCCGTATTCACCAGACCTTGCTCCAACGGACTACCATTTTTTTCGTGATTTGGACAATTGTCTACGTGACAAGAAGTTTTCTTCCCAGGAGGCAGTACAAAATGCTTTCACACAGTTTGTGCAGTCTAGATCGTCGGAGTTCTATCGCAAAGGCATTAATAACCTTCCCATTAGATGGCAGCAATGTATAGATAATAATGGCAACTATTTTGATTAAATAAATTTGTTAAAAATTTAAAAAATAAACAATTTAGGTTTTCAGTACAAATCGGCAATTTCATACTTTAACCCCTATTATTAATAAAATATCAGATATTTTATTATTGATAATATCATATCGAAGACAAAAATATGTGGATATTTTCTTTGACTCAATGCAATGCGGTTTCAGAAACAACTTCTTAACTTTCTTGGTTTGGGCACATAGCAGTTTATTATTTAGTGCCTGAATCGTGTTGGAAATTTTCCTAATTTTTTTATTCTTAAAATTGTTCTTTTTTATTTTGCTTATATACTGTTTAAACTTTTTGCATGAGGCGAAGGTGAGCCCTTTACTTACGCAATAAGACTAAGGCTGTAAACAGATTGACTGCACGTTTGCAGTTAATGCGTGAAGGCGTGAAGTCGTAATCAACTAATCATTAAATGCATGCAGTCGATCTCGGCTGCATGCAGCCGAGATCGACTGCATGCACTTAATGCGTGAAGTAATTATCAACTTCATGCAGTCGTAGTTTCGGTGGCATGAAGTTGATTACGACTACACGCATTAACTGCAAACATGCAATCAATCACTTAGCAGCCTAAGTTTAAAAAAAATATTGTAGTGACTGTTGGTGTGCCCAATAAATAAATAAATAAAAATATTGATAAACAATTTATTTTTAAAGAAAGTATCTGATTTTAATCGGATTTGTCGTCGTTTAATTTTAGTTATCGCTGTCCGTATCATCACGAAACGTGACAAACAACGTTCCCAAGCAATAAAAAGGTAGCACCTCATTATCATAATTTAAAGCAAAATGCAGAACAAACAAACCCTTTTAAATGACGCGTTAAATACACTCAAACAACGTTATTATACCCGAGTAGCTCGCTCACTATGGGCTTAGCAGAAAAAGTGTCACAAAAAGATATCAGTCAGCTGAAGTCGCGTCCGTGACAATTTGGCCACCGGGGATCTATTATAACGTCGTTGTCAATGGAGCCTTAAGAAATTTGTTACGAAGATTTTGATAGGTGGCAACTGCTTTTGTTCCGTGCGGGGAACTCAGCGTCAGGGGACTATTACATATGTGTGGTTATTATTTAGGTATTGTGGGCCACAACTGCGGGAGCCGTATGTTCGGGGACGGGTGGTTCATATTTATTGCTCACAAACCGGCGTGAATTTGTTTTGGGGTGGCGAACCGGCGCTAAACGTTAATGTTGTTCGCGTATTGTTTGTTATTATTCGATCGGCCGGGTGTAGCTCCCGCCACTCATGGAGTCAATGACTACAAGGTTTTACTGTCATAACGACTGGGATATTACAAAGTTGGTTTGAGTGCTTTCAAATTTATGGGGCTCGCCTTGGCCACGGCTCGATATGATGGGTCAAAAAACATTATTGCTTTCGAGTTATCTCCTCACATTACGATATTATTAACTGACTTCAAAAAAAAGGAGGAGGTTCTCAATTCGACTGAGTGACGATACAATAGTGTTGCAACTCAAAATATGTTAAATTTAATATTATATCATAACTGAACGTAAAATTTGATTCTCTACACGACAAAAAAAATCGTCTTTAGAATAATGTAAAATATATTCAAAAGATATCCATTTAACTCAAAATGAGACACACTTTATGTGAGCGAATATATAATAAAGCCAAAATAATCCTTATTTAAAAATATTCAATTATTTTTTCCATTTTATTTTTAAATATATTTGAGAAATTAAACTATAACGTTCATAAATTTTATTGATTTTTTGCGGGAAGTGAGTAAGTCGTTTTTCATCGATTCTGAGAAAGTCCACTTTTTGAGTTAATACACTATTGCATTAGTTGTGCGATATGTACTACTATAGTCGATAATTAGTGAACCGATTTCGATGATTCTTTGCTGGAAAGAGAGCATCTCGGCAGTGGTCCCGTTTAAATTTTAAGAAAATATTCCACCTCTAATGGTGGCAAACTAGGATGAAACCGGTTTCGCGCACTTTCCGGTAACCGATTTCAATAAAACTTGGCAAATAGATGTAATTCCACGAACTTTTGAGGTCGGTTTTTTTATATAACGCGGGTTTGTGAAATGAAATTCGCCTGTGTTATTTAGGGCCAAAATCTATTTAAATTTCTCGTTCCTAATATGCGACACGGTGTATTGGAAATCTTGTATTATAAATGGCTGGACTATTAGATTTGTTATGAACCGTGTGCACTCATTTAATAAGCCGACTGTTGTCAACGGTTGTTCGTATTCTCAAGTCACGTGTCGCCGTACTTTAGGGCTAGTAATTCAATTGCGTGAAACGCCCTCTACATTGCGTGACAATATCGTTAATAATCATATTAAATTATAGGCGCTATTTGTGCTCAAAATGATATCTAGATACATTAGTTATATGGAAATAGGTACAAAACGTAACTCGTGTCAAAAAACCCTTCATTGAGAGAATCTTCTATCGTAATGAATAAGAGTTTAAACAGTTTCGTACCAATTTAAGAACATCTCTCTTCCGAAAGTACATTAAGTTCCTCTTATTATTGTTGCAAAAAGTGTTGTGGAATATTTATTTCAGACAATTAACGGCGTTACTTAAATAATATGTAACAGAATAAATTAAATTTGTTGGTAACAGATCGCCCCGTGTTATTAGAAGATAGTCAGAAAGAAGAATTTAAACATAAAAAAGTAGCAATTGTATCCACTAAGAAAAAACAATAGGTATTTTAAATTTAAGTACTAGGTAGTTGTAATACACAAATAAATCACCGACCGCTGTAAACACCTTGCTATTCTATCCGTTTCCCGTCTCTATTTTGTAATGTAAACTTTGTAAATATCAATATATAGTTTATGCATGGTTTTGTTACATAATAACTCAAGTTCAAATAAATTTATCACTTCACAAGTATACAGTTTTCAATCGTCAAAAGCATACTTTCATTGAAAATTACATATCATTCTTTATTTAAACAGATTCAGTGTGCATATGATATTTTGTTGAACAAAATACGCGACCGTTGACTATGTTATTCGAAATTTGAATCAGAGCAAAGGGTGTTATATTTATGCAGCGGCTTTATTGGATTACAAGCCCACCCCAGTACAAACGCAATCAAATAAGCACTGTTTGTCAACAACGTTTCAATACGCACATGTTGTACAAATTGTTACAAAATTTAGCTAAGAATTGTGCTCTGTATTCATTTGCTATATTGAGATGTTGTAGCGTACGTGCACTTTTCGACATGTTCCTAAACCATATCGATAATAACTTTTTTATTTTTTTTTTTATACATGACAGGCAAATGACTCCACTCCACCTGATGTTAAGTGGAAAGTGGTATCCAAACGCGAAGGAACCTAGTGCAGCGATGAAACCCTCACTGCACTAGCCACCTCCACCCTGCCTGCCTACAATATGCCTCTTCACGCCTCTGTTACGGCGATCATTATAAGAAAATTCAACGAAAATGATCAAACAATTTTATATAAAAAACTAAAAAACAAACGATCGTACCTCGTTTATAAATTGCCAATTTTAATTTTTTAGATAACAATATAAAAATATACACGTTTGAATCCCTGTACCCGTGTAACATTAATTTATAAGTTAGGTATACGTAAATTACTACGTCCTCGTTAACGTTGGAGGAAAACATCGTGATGGCACTTCTATGTCGAAGAAACGTTTTAGTAGAAAAAGAAAGAAGTTCTAGTAGCAGTAGAATTCTTTAAGAAAGAGTTCGCTAAGGGAATTACTGCCACCTTATCTATTTCTGCCGCCAAGCAGTAAGTACCGTGAGCATTAATGGTGTTCCGGTTTTAAAGGGTAATGGGGCTGATAAAATTACAGGCACATAGGACTTGTCAACTTATGTCTCAGGGTGACGGGCGCAGTGGCATTGCCCCTCTGAACTTTGCGATTTAAAGCTATGAATGGCATTGCAACTGTTATGGACAGGCGTGTCGCTTACCAACAGGCGCACGACTGGTTCGTCCGGTCCCTTGGTATCATAAAATATAAAGAAGTTCACAACCCTTGCAAAAAGGTGTGAAGTCCCCAACTTGCATTAGGTCGAGTATGACCTAAACCCTCTCCATAGAGGAAGCTCGTGGCCCAAAGTTGATGATGATGATTTTGATGAACAGTATTGAACAGAAGGTTTACTAATTTTTGTGGTGATTTGTTTAAGACGGAGCACCGCACTTGCTGCGCGTGTGGGGAGCCGATTGCGGACCGCTTCCTACTGGAGGTGGGCGGCGGGGTGTGGCACACGGGCTGCTTGCGCTGCTGCGTCTGCGCAGTACAGCTCGATCGGCACCCTTCCTGCTTCTTACGGGACAGACAAGTCTACTGCAAGCAGGACTATGCCAAGTAAGTGCTGCTCTTGCAAACAAAAGACTCAAGCAAATATCTCATCAGTCCAGCCAATGTATAATCATTTTTACTGTCAGGTAACAGGTAACAGGTAACGCTACAAAAAAAAAGAGGAGACAAAGAAAATGCGATACATAATTTGTATTTATAATGTATACATTTTCTCCTCACTGTCATGGACAAAACCGCAAAAAGATTTCAAATGCCAACATCAAAAATTATTTATAAACCGTAAGTTCACGCATATCGTTTAGTCGGTCCGCACTTTAATTCCTTTACAATACACTGCCTACGTCCAATTAACCTTCGACGTATTAGAAATATCCATAGTCATCATATTCCAAGTCATCCGTGAAAACGAAATAGGCGACCAAAATAAAAATCTGTTTGAACGTTGAATGCTTTTCTGAGAGGCGGCTGTCGGATCGTAGAAGTGTTATAAGCGGAATGTTTGGTGGAATGCTGGCAGGGTAGGCGGTCCAGTGTGCAGGTGACCTGTGACCTGCGCGCTGTGTGGCGGCCGTGATGATGCAGTATCGACAGCCTCGCGATGCGTCGGCCTTATTGTGTACACAGATACGTGACGGAAAATTTGGAATTGATACTTGCCAATGGATTTACCTCCGAGGTTTCAATATACCGTGCTGTATGTATGATTAATTTCTCACTGAACGCATGACAAAGATGAAACAAAGACCAAAGAGGTACTGAAAATTGTACATAACTTTATTACCATCAACAGTTTTACCAGCAAAATCGCCTTCTGTTATTTAATAACATTTCGTACCATAAAATCATCAAAGCAACGTTCTCCTTAGATAATGCCTACAGCCATTTTAATACTTAAAGAAACGAAATAACAAGAGAATGTTAATTAGGTTTTATATTGCCGCGCATAAGAGTAACGTCTCTATTAGCGTTATTTCCGTGCTTGTGGCGGAGCTCCAGTATCCGATTTACATAAACATAAGTCGAAAAGGGAAATAAGCCTTCGACCGCAACAGGTGCGTGAGAACTTATTCTTATGCGTCAAAATAGAAAAAGGAGGCCGACGTCTTGAAGAGTGGTTTTATTGAAAATCGGACGGGCGAGTGTGGGACAACAAAGCGGTGACGGGGAATGTATGCCAGGGTAAAAAATACACCGGCGAGTGTACGCCGTGACTTGCAATACCAACGTTTTCATTTGTCATTTATTTTGATTGTGATAACTGGGTGCGACGTGAAACCATATATTTTAATCGGAACAGTGATATGGTATGCGCGACACGATGGGGAAGCCAGAGGCCCACCACGGCGCGCGGTGCACCGTAGACTATACACGTCATCGGGTTCTGACTAAATGAATGGCAGTTTATATTGTCCAATCACGTCATCACTCGATAAAACGTAGGTAATATGATCAAGATTTAACCTGCAATATATGCTGGAAACTATTATCATAAAAACATATTAAATTTGACTATATAATTGCATTTAGATTTAAAGCAAGCGGAACTTAACACACCGTGTCGTCTGACGAAAAAGATTTGTTTGCTATGATAGAATAATGAAGCCATCATTTTGCATACCTACTTGGTATTTAAGTATGGGCCAAAAAATGTACCATCTATGATTATGCATAGACCAGTTTTTTTTTTCAACTTTGTACGATGTGCTTAGGGCAACGAACGATTTATCTACAGCGCATACAGAACAAGAGTACGAGCTCAAAAACGAATCGAGTCTCACGTACAAATGCAAATTGCTGCAAATAATCTGCTATACAAATACAGTCAGAATACAAGTAGGCAGCAGCAACATTTGCAAATATAAAGTTCCTTTATTTCGTCCGTAGTATAGCCAATAATGTACCATTTCAAAAAGTAAATGGTCCGAGCCTCGTTAAATGTGAGCTGTGTCACTGTTTAAATAATATTTGTATTTGGAACGGGTATAACGAGTGGTGTTGCCAGAGACGTAAATCGGCGCTCGCTGCCGGCTACAATCGTAATTGCTTTTGTTGATATATCATCTGTTCATTGTTTATTTAGCGCGTCTTTTTGTCTGGTAGCCGGCCACGCGTCTCTTGCTTTTGTTTTAGTTTCTTTTGTTTTTAAGAATATTCAAGTGTTACCAGCCTTCGGCAACCTGTATAGTGGGCAGATACAAGTGCACCCACATACGTATATATAAACATAATTGTAATAGGCATTAGGTAGTCTGTAATGTATAGCGGTGATATTCACTTTCTATGTTCAATGGGATAGTTAGTATTTGAAGTTTATCTTTAACCAGTTCAAAGATAACAACTTCAAATGAGTGCATAGCACAAAGTGTGAATTTCCCCGAAGAATAAGCGATGGTGGTTTTCGCTCTCACGCGATGTCGTCGCCCACACCGCACTCACTGCAAATGCGCGCGCCATGTCTTATGTAAATGCACCACGTCGCCTCTGACTTTAATTAATCTTTAAACCGCATAAATAAACCTGATGCAGATCGATCCATTTCGAATATTAAACAATGAGAATTGGTCGAGAGATTTTTCTCTATTATACATTATTATCAGTGGAACGAGTCGTTACTTATAGGTCAAATACAACATTATCTACTCACGAAAGTTATAAAAACATGCTACTCCACAGAAATTCAAATCAATATAGATGATCAATTCAACTCATCCACAGTGACACAGTTTAGTAGAGCAGTAGAGCTCCTTGTGAAAGAGTTCGTCCAGGGAAGTACTGCCACCTTACCTATTTCAGCCGCCAAGCGGTAATGTGAGCAATACTGCGTTACGATTTTGAAGGATATCTAAGGGGGCTGGAGAAATTACTGGCACTTGGGACTTTTCAACTCACTTTCGTGTAATGTCTCAGAGTGAAGGGCGCAATGGCAGTGCCCCTCAGATCTTTGTAATTTGAAGCTAACTGCGATACTGCAACCGCTATGAATAGACGCGTCGCTTACCACCAGGCGCACGACATGTTTGTCCCGTCTCCAGGTGTCACAAAGAAAAAACACTTATTCTATGGCACTGGTTTACTTGTAGTCAAGATGTATTTATTATCTGATATGTTTATTCTCTTGTTTAGATTCAGTTATATAAATTTGCAACTTGTCTTAGTACTATAAATATATTATTAATATGATTGCATGTTAATATTCTCCCCGTAATTATTATTCCCACAGCACGTATTTAAGACAAAGACATAATTTTGTAACTGATATTGGATTGTATTGTATTGTCTGGGGACTATTTATTTGAACTTGTTAGCCTAGGGCAAACGTAGCCTGGAAATTAAACAAACCCAGGTATAATATTGTAATGAATCTCATATTGGAGTTGTACAAAAACAAATAACCTAAATCATGTCGTCGAGTGAATGGACGGCTTGAATGGATATTAAAATGTGAGGGAAGGGTGGGAGGGCGAAAGGAGGAAAGCAATCAACGAGTAAGGATTTACGACGGGCGCCCGCGGCGGTTCGCGATGCGTACACGCACCCGATATTGTCAAACGCCTTCGGGACACCCGTATTTGGACAGTTTACTTTACTGGTCTTTGAAATCGTAATCTTCGATTGAGATTAGAGGTACGTTGCAAGTTAGGATACGTAATAATAATAAAAAACCGATCTCAAAAGTTCGTGAATTTACATCTATTTCCCAAGTTTTATTGAGATCGGTGGCTGCGCTATTGTGTATAATTTCAGTTCCTTCTATATTTACTTATTACATTCATTAAATAATAAATTTAATTTTTAGTACTTTTATCATCGCACGCAAGACGCAACTCAAACGCATATAACATGATATTCTGGCAACACTATTCTTCTTCTCACCTGCTCCCCGCTACCTCAAAACTGTCGTCCGAGTTCAAAAACTTGAGCGTACAAGTGTACGCGAGTGATACTCAAAATAAATTATAAAAAGCTCATTCAATAATATTAAAATCATCTTAAACTTATATTCACAACCAAAAATTGTACACATTGTAGTGAGACTATAGAAAAACCTTGGACATTATATTAAACTCAATTGCTGGATGTGCAGGTGCCTTCACGACGTATTGGCACCTCCAATCGGTTACCGGAAAGTGCGCGAAATGGGATTCATCCCCTATTTTGCCACCCTTAGAGGTGGAATATTTTGTTCAAATTTAAATGGGACCATTACTCGGAGGTATCCTCTTTTTAACATGAAAAGAATCATCAAAATCTATTCACAAATGGCCGGAGTAATCGCGTAACATACATACAAAAAGAACATGCAGTCGAATTGAGAACCTCCACCTTTTTTTGAAGACGGTAAAAAATGATCTTGATGATGATGTAAAATTTAAAAATAAAAAATATAAAATTAGTGAATAGTAAGGACTTATTAAAAATATTGGGTGCCTAATTTATCTGAAACATAATTTGTCGGTTCAAATTAACAGGATTTAACACTAAGGGTAATAGAACTAATTTAGTCAAGCCAAACAAGTTGTATAGAAACCATTGACATTTATAAACATGATCTAAATAGAATATAATATAATATTATAGATTAGGTGGCTCATTATTAAAATTGAAGTGAGTTTTTAACACTGAATAGTAAATGAATTCAAAAGAAATGAAAGAAAGTCAAAGTTAGTAGACCACCCGACTCCTGCATAAATAGTCAACGTTATGTGTTTATCGGACGGGGTACGCAACATCTTCATTACGGCGAGTGTTAAAACTTGTTAATCTGTCACTTGGTTAATTATTATGCGAGATCGCTTAATTGAATCAGTCTGCGACAAAATGTTAATAAGCGGCGATAACAAAGCCCAAGAGGTGGCGCTCTCTACGCTAATACAGCATTTTGAAATGCAAATGGTGTATTTGGAACATTGGTGTTGATAAAGCCGATAAGGAATGGTGACAAAGTGAATTGATATTCTTAAAGCACGCGACTTTGCACTTAGAACTACTCTATAAGCTTGTACATTTCACAAAATTATCCGTTAAGGATTTGAGAGAGTGTTTTAGGTGGTAGAATACTAGGTAAGACACACTGCTGTTAATATTCACTTAATGCAACAATAATTACAACCTTAAACGCTTTAACAATTTCAAAATACATACATTATGCAAAAATGTACCTTGCAGTGACTTTAATTTCTCCCATTTATTTAATATTGTGTATCACGTAAACAGGTTTATTGCCGGACGAAGTAATATGACGATGTGTTAATTAAGTGCTACATGCGCTTATTGAATTAATCTAACTCATTAAATTAAAAGGGTTTGCGAGAAGGCAATGGTACTCATTATCATTGCCCAGTTTGTCGACTCGCGCCGCCGCGCCGAAGAGACGCCGCTTCTTGGTGGCAGATTATTTGAGTGTTTTTTTTATAGCACGTTAGGTTAGCAAAACCCTACCGATGTTGTATATGAAAGTATTAATGAAAATGCGTGATGTGAAAAAAGTATGTTAGGTTTGAGAACTTTTGTTTTTGCTTACTACACCAACGTCAAACTTGGAGAGCAAAGCCAAACTGGCTTCAATAAAGCCCAGAGTGCTCAATAGAGCGAAGCAGTACTTCTCACCGGGTCACTGACTTTTGACGTTGTATAAAGAACAAGTACAGCTCCATACGGAGTATTGCTCGCACTTCTGTGCAGGAATTCCCAAATACCGCTTGATCTGCTTGGCTTCATTCAACGTAGGGTTGTTTGTACTGTCGAACGTTCTAAACTCAGAGACGGTTTGGAATCACTTAATCTTATAGAGACGTTGGATTTCTATGTGTGTTCCACCGTCTATATGATGGGGAGTGCTTAGAGGGGCTTTTCGAGCTGGTGTCACCGTCACGTTCCTTTGCTCGATGACATGGGGTTCTTCAAAAAACGTGAACAGGGCTCTCAAAGGCTAGCCACGCAAAGGCAGCTCATCTAATCTGCCGTCCACTAACCAAATCAAAAGCACAAAATTCTCTTTTAAAAACAGTTAAAATTAGTAAATGTGTTGGACTTATCGGAACTTACCCTAACGATGCATAGCTGAAATATCATTAAATAATTTCAATATTCTAAAACTGGGTTATGGTTATTTATGATATCTCAAAAAATTATTTTGTCATAGGCGCATTCTAGCTAGCTTCCGGCAGTAATGTTGCAGATGTCCGTGGGAGACGATGACCACCTCCCATCTAACGGCTCGTCTGGTGATTTGCCTCCTACGTATACGGAGTAAATATGTAGTCTAAATTAGTAAGCGATTAAAAATAATATAATGCGAGTCCTAATTTTTATTGAGAATAGGTCGGTAAAATATCCATACATACCCCCATTCAGTACAGTCTTTGGTTTAAAACATGGCAAGTATATAAAATAATAAATACAAAGTATAATAATACACTATACTGAAGAACGCAATGAAAATATTAAAATAGCAACTCGCAGGTAATTAAGGAATGTAGGCACGGCACTTGCTCATGGATCGGGTGTATTTGTGTAATAATCGTTATTTATTGTACAATCATTGTAATGATTCAATGTACCCAATCGTTATTCATTGAACGTTGTTGCATTTTTTCCAGGACATTTTATTGCTTAAGAAGCGATGCGAAATTAACATTTTATGAGCTCAGCGAATTAGAGTAAATTGGACTTTCTTTATCGTTTGTGCTATTGCGAAACCACTATACAATAAATATCAATTAAACAGGTACACACAAGTAATTTATTGTAACATTATTAACAACTAGCAACCGCAATTGGACTTCTTCTCAGCGGCACATACTACAGGAGAGTTTAATTTTTTAATTGTCTTTTGTTCTCTATCTAAGATGACATTACTTCATCTTTTTTTTTTATAAATATTTTACACAGACGTTCTTATTTAGTCTGACTTAGTTTTTAGGCTCCTACTAATGAAACTAAAGAATACTCTTGCATGATTGGATTCCGTCGTATTGTCGACAGGAGCTTCGGTGCGAAGTGCTCGAAATGCTGCAGGGGTATCTCCTCGTCAGACTGGGTACGGAAGGCGCGCGAGCAGGTGTATCACCTGGCGTGCTTCGCCTGTGATGCCTGCGGCCGCCAACTTTCTACCGGCGAACAATTTGCTCTGCACGAAGATAGAGTCCTCTGCAAACCACACTACTTGGAGACATTGGACGGAGGATCCATTTCTTCTGACGGTGACAACCTGTTTTATTCCCACTCCACCGTCACTTTACTCTTTTTTTATTATGATATCCACAGAATCTTGAAGTGTTGCAATTTTCACATTGGAACTTCCACCAACTACTTCTATAAATGAACTGCTGCTCTCACCCGCAGACGGCTGCGATTCAGAGGGCTACCACAAGAGTAAAGCTAAGCGAGTCCGGACTACGTTCACAGAGGAGCAACTACAGGTCTTACAAGCGAATTTCCAGTTAGACTCCAACCCTGACGGGCAAGATTTGGAAAGGATCGCGCAGGTCACAGGGCTGAGCAAGAGGGTCACGCAAGTTTGGTTCCAGAATAGTCGAGCGCGACAAAAGAAACATCAGCACACGGGGAAAGGAAAGCAGAACCAACGTTAGTATCTCAATGGAATAGTTTATATCTATTCAAAGCTGTAGGTATCAAAAGCGATAAATTAATTGTATCTGTATTAGACACTGCTCTCTGATAAAATTTGTTACGAATAAGGAAAGCTTGCGATTTATTTTGCATATGCGATTGTTTGGTAATATGGAGGACTTGGGATAAGTGTTTCTTGCGTATGTATAACTGTTGTGTTGTCTACAGTAATGTCTCGAGATGCAGATCCGGCGGGGTTTGGTCGGCCCATCAACCTCCACCTTACATATTCATTTCAGAACAAACCACCTTTTGTCCCGATAGGTAAGTTTTACTCCATGATTTTAAAATATGAATCGTCTGCTTAGAAGTAAAACCACGTAAGTGACATTTTTCTTAACAAACCTCTAAATTACACAGCTGTAAGTTCATAGCTCTTTTTATTAATAGTAGTTTATAGCTTTTTTATTATTGAGCTTTACCTCCAGAAAGAGCCTGGTTTTCTTACCTTAGGTATAAAATTTTGTGTCTTTCTGTAGAAAATATCACTTATGTGGTTTTACCTTTAAGCAGATGAATCAAAGTTTTGATGAATATATCATAGATATGTCTATGGAATACATATCAAACGTAAACTGTGAATTATGTTGGTATTATACAATAACTAAAAATCTTCGGGTCCTTTTTTTATGATATTTTTATTCTCAAAATTTGTTTAGCTTTAAATGTTTAATGGGTTTCTTTTTCAGACGGAACTTCTTTCACGGATTCTTCGATGGATGAACTGTCTGAGGACTCCTCCATACATTGTATGCAAAGTGAAGTTTGAGGCATATTTCCATTTCCACAAGAATTGTTTTCATTTGCAATTATGTTTTGTTACACTAATAGATAGATGAATTAATTTTAATTTAGTAAACATACTGCATTTCATAAATGAAACCTTAGTGAAAAGTTCGAGTTTTAAATACTTGGATTATACTTCAGACAATTATAAAAATGACGGCATCGCAATATATAGGGCGATAAGGACGGTGTATCAAACAAATTTAACCGAATTACAAACGATGCAAACTTCTCTAAGGGCCCTATTACAGTTTCGTGATTGCCAACTAATGCCACAGATATTATAATATGCAAACAATCGCTTACAATACAAAGAAAATTATTTTGTTTATTTACAATATTAATGAAGAGACCAGCGAAAGAATGATCAAAGTCATTTATAACACGTTTTAAGTTAATCCCGCCATCCAGTTCGGTAAACGCTGAGTGTAATTTGCTGAAATCAGAAAAAGACTAATAAGGTTCAATGTCCTGAAAAATTAGCATTTACTTTTAGGCATTAAAATGCTTGCGAGCAACGGGTACCCGAAAACTTAAAAAAGATTTATAATTTTAGTTAAAATGGACTACATAATGTTACATACATTTATGAAAGCATTGGTTTTATTTCAGGTAGTACTTATGCGCGTCTTTTTCCTCAATATTAAAAACTTTTCAAATTAAAAATTATTTTTTCGTAAAATTCTGCTCAAGTGACTTTGATCATTCTTTCCCTGGACTCATCATTTATCATTGAATCCGGATACACCGTTCACCGTGCATAGCAATAACTATTACTGTATTAGAAGAATGATAAAGAAGTATTTATTGTAAAAAGTCTATTTATTTATTTATTTAATTAATTATTTTGTCTAGAAACTGTGATACATTCGCTATCAAGTATTAGGTACTGAAGTAACATTAACTTTGTCAAATATTGTTTAGTATGTATTTTCTAGCAATATGTAATTATTATTAGGAACTAATATATCTGTCAAAATATAATTATGCTCTTTTGTATAAAGAAAATTGTAGAAGATATGTTATAACAAAGAAGCAGATTTTGTTAATAAATTCTTAGATTGCTTCGAGAAATCGGTTGGTATAATCTTAAATCGTAACTTCTTAGTTAAGATGACTTTAATAGTTAACAAAGCCTGTTGCAAATATGTCTTGTTAAATAGATGTGATCTTACGCGTGTTAACAGTTCCTGGGCGCATTAGATGGAACAACACACAGCAAAAAAGTTTTTTTTTCTCCAAATGTATAGTTTACTAAAGTTAAGTGTAAACTATAGATTTAAAGTGTTAAGTGTAAAGTTAAGTGTTACTTTACACTAACTTAGTCTTATTTAAAATATTAATATTTAACTTTTAATAAGTCATTACCAGTTTGAAGGAATTGTGTGTGTCGCAAAAATGCCTAAGGTGGATTTTTCAGTCTAGCCAAATGTGCGATAATGTGCTATAAAAATGTGACTTTCCTAATAGGCAATGATTCTAAGATAAATGGAGATTTATATTACCACTAGAAGAGCAGTAGCATCTTAGATCGCACATTATGGTAAATTTGTAGTCATGGGCACTCTAATCTATTACTAGTGATAGATTATTACAGTTAGACGTGGCGCGATGATGGAAGTGTACGCGACCGTGCGTGTTCTTTCAGCGAATTGTGTGTAAATCACTCAAAAATAATGTTTTGTAGTAGTAGAGCTCCTTGTGAAAGTATTCGTCCAAGGAAGTACTGCCACCTTACCTGTTTCTGCCGCCAAGCAGTAACGTGAGCATTACTGTGTTCCGGTTTTGAAAGGTAAGAAAGAGGTACTGGTGAAATTACAGGCACATGGGACTTGTTAACTTATGTCTCAGGGTAATGGGCGCAGCGGTGGTGCCTCTCAGATCTTTAAGCGGGACTATAACTGTTATGGATGGCGTGTCGCTTTCCACAAGGCGCACGACTTGCCCATTCTGTCAGTTGGCATCATGAAAAAATAATTATTTTATTATATTACCGGCAAAACAGTCTACTGTTGCAGGTGATTAATGTGGTAAACGCCCCCTGTAGTTATTTGAGGTACTAAGGAGCTGCTCATGATAGCAAATGCGTTCCTCGACGTGGGAGATAACATTGATAATTGCACTGGATCTATCCACTCTTTGTCTTCCCAAACAGATAAGGTGGTAGTAACACGGTTTATGAATGACCAGAAATAGGCGCTAGGCCATGTAGCGCCCTGGTGCAATCAATAACCTGGCGCCCTCTAAATGTAGTAGACACGTGATCAAAATGAAATACTTACAGTTATAATATTCGCCAATGGTCGGAAACTCGGGTGTAAATGGTGCAATCATAAATGATGTCGAGAAGCAATGGCAAGTTTACTTTTGTGTGTTAGTTTAGTTAGCTCGGTTAGTTTAGTTCACGATGTGAACTACGCTAAGTTAGCATAGCTTCGTTCGCGGTGTGACTCGCGCTTTAGATCCCACGCCTGTGTGCTTCGTACACTCTGCATCATAGGTAAAGCCGGCACTGACTACACAATTCGTTTTAATCGGATCTACTTTTGAACTGACTTTTTGCGACAGGAGCTTTGCATAAAACAATTCAATGCATACTGAAATAGTTAATTCGAATGTGTACATTTACAACCTTAAAATTCTGTAGAATTTAACTTGTCAATTACCTTTTTAAGGCACGTACGGAGCGTAGAATATAAGTTATCTAAATCAATGTTTTTGTAAATATACTTACTCTTCTACTTATAATCAATACTTATTTGTAAATTTTATAGAATTTTTATTTTATTTATTTCGTTTAGTATAATAAGCTATGGTTAACATTTTCTTGTCATTAATTATTGTAAGGAATTATTATTTAATAAAATACTAAGCAACGATTATTGTTCGGGGTATTCGAGGAGGTTATTAATTCTGTTTTTACTTAGTAAAAACTTTCACTTACTAGTAGTTTTTGATAAACATCGCCAACCTTATGATATGATTAATTATTCCAGGTCGTGAGGGAGAAATTTGTCATAGAAAAAATCTAAGCATTAGATTAGCAAATTTTGCCCATCTACAAATGACAGATGTTAGTTTTTTCGAATTTATAACTCGGATATATATTAAATATCAAGGAAATAACTAATAAGGCAACCAGTCAGTGGCACTTGATTGGTTAGTTTCTTAAGGGGACATTTTATCTCTTCAATCAATGAAATTAGAAAAAGTGGAAAAATATTGATGAGAAACATCAATCACCTTTTAAAAGTACAGTCAACAGCACATCAAGCTACTAACTTATCATGCTGCCATCTATGCATAGTTAAAGTTAGATTTAAATAATAGTGCCAACGTTTTAACGTTATTTTAACCTAATAAAAATCAAGGTATATTTTATTTGCAAGCTTACTTTATTAATGAGCCTGTAAACGTTGTACGAAAATCTTTCACCATTGAACTCTTAGTTAAAGTCACACCATGTTTATATCTTGTATTGAATTTTTCAATATGTACATTTATTAAGCGTCGACAAATAAAATATGATTCGTGAATACAATCTAACGCAGGTACTTCGTTGCTTAAGTTTATTCTGTACAAAGTATCAAAATATATATGTTGGTTAAACATTAAGGATGTTTCATTTAAAAATCGAAATGTGTAGATCGATATAATATGTGTACCTAGGTAGGTAGTGTAACTGAGGCGTAGCTTGGGTTGCGTAGCGAGAGGTACTTTTATGAATTTAAACTGGAATAATCTTCAAAATATACTTTATGCACTAAATTTAAATGCACTTTTTTACATGCTTTCGGCGTTGGGTTATATTTCGTTCTATCAAGATGCTCATTCTTTTCTTACTTCCATTTTTCAAAACATTCTAATTACAAAACTATTCATTCAGCCAGTGATTCTACTCATAGAGTAGAGCCTAGATTACATCCCTCTTCCTCACAGCTGAAGGGGTGAATATCCCTAGCTGGTGCTCTACCTATGATAGGCAACTTACATAAGTAATCAGCCTTTACTATAGGCTAGCCACACACTGCTCGGAAGCTATTACCTTACCAACAAGTAACCACCGAGGAGGCTATGGCTTTAGTCTGCCAAAAACCTATCTAAAAGGACAGACCATGACCACATCCTAATCATACAAATCAAAATATAATTACTCGCTATCCTAGCTAATTAGGGAACCCGACTAAACCCTAACACTTTATTTCAGCGACCCTAGCCTGCCTGAATCATCCTAACAAAATTTCTAAACATCACTACCGAAACTTCCTAACTGTCTCCTTAAATTGTCTTCAACGTGCATGCTGCCACAACGACGACACAGGCTTGAGCATCCATCGGATGATCACTGGGTTACATCGATATTGATTTCCCAGCTGCCTCAGTCCTCATCCTGCAGCTATCCACGTTCCATCAGCTTTTCTCACTTTCTTTAAACAAACAAGAAAAAACACACACATATAACCCGAACAACATATCCTAACTTACATATGGGATGGGGATATTCTATATGAAGGACTTCTAATAATTAAATAAATATATTTTCCCTGAATGCAGACAGTTCTTGTTCATCTGGGAGGGTGAGCACGAACTATGCACATACGCAGGACAATATATCTATCAAATTAAAAAAAATTAGAAAGAAAAAGCAAGTTATATCTATCTACTCTAAGTTGGTAATCCATCTTCTCCTCCCGTCCTTCAAAGTCCGCATTGCCGGAAAATAACAAGTTCCCTCAAAATTATTCCTCACAATGTCATCGTGGCTCCATATGAAAAATAAATATAAAAGATTAATTAACCTAATAGAAACCAAGAAAACATTAAATTATCTCCTATAGAACGTTTTCATTCTACTCGCATGCAGTAGATCCTGCCTACCCAATCTATTCCTATTTATACCTAAACTTTTCACAATACAATTAATTCCACTCAACCGGTATACTACCTTAACTTCCGCGTAACATACCTTCTAGATATCAAAGCAACCCTATCTTTTTTATCAAATTTTCGCTTCTCTTGCGATTGTATATTACCTACTTATATATTCTTTATGCGGATTTATCGAGGCTGCTTGTTTTATTAACTTGCCCTGTAAATTCTCCACATTACTTACGCGAACAGTTTTAAAAATGTCGCTTTCTGAATTATATTTTATATTTAACTTCGGCAAACCATATTTATAATTATTTTCATTTAAATTATACTCTTGACGTAATTGACACGTCTTATCACTTACATCAACTTTACTTATTATTTCTGGCAAAACCGAAGAGTTTACATACTCCGATTTATTCAGCAAGAAGTTATCTAAACTTTTTGATATCGGTTTCAAAGAAGACTTTTCTTTCTTTGATCCAATGTCTGTCATGGACTTAGAAGAAGAAATTTTGTTGTCAATTTCTAATTTTGGCAACTTGAAATCATATTTCTTCAAGATATCTTGGCCTAAAATTAGATATTCTTCAAAATCCTCTACAACCAGCAACCTTGATTGATATTGGTGGACGACTGCACATTTATAGGCGTTCCGCCCACTGTACGCAAAGGAAAACTTGGAGTATCATCAATACGCAAATGTAACTTTTCTGCAAAACAACGAGAGATTATAGAAACCGAAGCACTAGTATCCACCAACGCCTAGCAACTTACATCATTAATAAAAACAGATACAAAAGATGCCCTATCTACACTAAAACTATCAATTGTAGACAAATTTTCTAAATGCGCTTTGCTGACATCCACGTTGAGGAGATCCCGACGAAGATCCAACCATATGCCTGTGAATACCCTTGACTTGGCGTATCCTGATGCACGACTGGTGCTCGTGGCACTTGATATTCCGACTGCTTAGACTTGGGTCTAATTATCGGTGCAGAGTCACCCTGTGTTTGCCAACAGTGAGAGTGCTCCATGTGACAACAAACTGGCAATTCAATATTTTGTCGACTCACATCATAACTGTTACTAAATATATCACCTACTTGTATAATTGTTTTTCTCAACTCCTCTTTCGACAAATATAAATTACTAGCCAGCATCCATTGAAAATTGCGTATCAAAGATTTCAAGAAATGTCTAATAAACTGAACATCTTGAATATTCGCTTTCGTCGCTAACTTATCTAAACTATAAAAATAACTTATCAGCGATTCATTAGGCCCCTGTCGCCTATAATAAAATTCTCGGGCGTAATCTATTTATGAGGGAAATTCCTCTCTTAACTTCTGTGCAATTACATCACACGTCGTGTATGAAGAAAAATACGTTTTATACCATTGTAGAGCTGGCCCCTCCAAATACAATGCGACACGTATCTCTTATGCACATCAGACCAATTATTTAATATGCTAATGGCCTCAAATTGATTCAAAAACTCGTCTACGTCGTTGAATCCATTACATCTTTGTGCCGGTACACAATACATATTCTCTTCTCGCACTTTTTACTGGCATCAATTATAAATCAATATTAAATATAAAAATATAAATTACGACCTTATGTACGCTTTCCTGGAAGTTGTGTCGTAAAAACATATAAAAATTTTTCACGACGGACTTTTTTCATTGGAATCCTTTCATCATTAGTAAGCTTGCGTCCATCATTTGTAGGCTTGAGTTATGTTATATCTCTTCCATTGGCAGATTTTTCAAAATAGAAATATAAAAAATTTCACATCGGGATTCGTACTTCCCTTATTTGTAAGCCGGCGAATTCCACCATTTGTAACTGGGACGTAGCTTGGGTTGCGTAGCGAGAGGTACTTTTATGATTTTAAACTGGAATAATCTTCAAAATATACTTTATTGCACTTTTTTACATGCATTCGGCGTTGGGTTATATTTCGTTCTATCAAGATGCTCATTCTTTTCTTACTTCATTTTTCAAAACATTCTAATTACAAAACTATTCATTCAGCCAGTGATTCTATTCATAGGGTAGAGCCTAGACTACAGTAGCATGCCATGTAATCAAAACCCTAGGTTCATAACTGGATTCTGTTAAGCAATAACGTGTAAACCATCATGATTACAGTTTGGCGAAAATGACACCTTAAGGTTTTTCGTTGTTTTAGATAGTTTGTTCTTAAATTTACTTAAAAGATGAGAATTGTGGCCGTTGTATTTGTTGTTGTTGGGGAATTCAATAATAGAAAAATAGAAAAAAGTTCATTTTCTGCCATCACAAAGTACAAAATTGTTGTACACATATATTAATAAGTACTAGTTGTATTAGCTGATTATAGTTTGTTTGGAACCTAAAGTAGGTTGAAACCTGTGCTCCAAACTTTCAGGAGCCCCACCGCGGACATATGACTTAAAAGGAAATACCAATAAAAAAAAATTTTGATATATGTGATATAAATATCACATATATCAAAAAAAAAACTTTTAGTGCTAATTTCGCAAAACTATTTAAATTTCGGTTGACACGTCATTGCTTATCATCTACTGATTTCAAAAAATAAAACACCTTTAAATGTATGTTTCTCAGTTTATTGTGCACTATATTCATGTACTTTACTTCACTATATTATCAAATAACAATCAATATAAGTATTATATCATGATATAGACTCAGTACAGAGTACTAAAAAAACCGTCCTCAAAAGTACGTGGAATCACGTCTATTTGCTAAGTTTTATTGAAATATCCCCTAGTTCGCCACTATACAGGACTTGACACTGGAGATAATAAAAATCGGTTCTCACTACTCAAAGTATATTGAGAGAAAAAAGCCTTGAATTGGAGAAATAGCAAAATCAACCATTAAAATAATTTCTCCTTAAGCGTGAACAGCCACCCTGACACAGAGGTGGATGATTATCTTCAAAATGAAATGGGACCACTATGGAAGTACTCCCTTTCCAATAAAAAAAGTATCATGAACATCGGTTCACAATTACCGGAGTTATTGCGTAACATACATACAAAAAAACATACAGTTGAATTGAGAGCCTCCTCCTTTTTTGAAGTCCGTTAAAAATGACGCTGGCGTTGTTAATATTACACTTATAATAGCTTAAACATGTTAAAGAAAAACTATTGACTATCTTCAAACTATATCTCGAAATAACGTAGATAATTTAACAACTTGTACATGAAACATTCAACTGAATGGTCCAATGCAACAATGAACGTTATAATGAAGTTACACCTTGCCACAGAGGTGCATAGGTCTTCTTAAAAGAGATGCTTTAAATAATTCTGCCTTCGGAAAAAGAAAAGCAATCAAATCCTCGCCATACTTTCTTAAACTCTTATCTTAAGCACAAAGCAACTAAAATGCATAAAATGCATTTTACATATATACAAATTTGCAGGCTGATTTCTCACATTTCCTTCATATTCACACACATTTGGCTTTTTTTTCTTAAATTAATGCACTAAAATTAACACCCTCGATAACAAATAAAAAAAAAATAGATTTCTTGTCTATCTCCTGAATAATCTTAAACTCCTTATAAAATACGTGACTGGGAAAAAAGGCATCGAAATGCTATATTCGTAGATAAATGTTTGTAGATTGTTCTGATAAAAAGAATGGTTAAAATATGATTGTAAGTCAATGGTTAAAATATACATTTGATATTAAGTGTTTTATTTTATGTTTTATATTATAAAAGTCAGAGTCGACACGCGAAGCAGAAGAATACATACCACATGTTTTATACAGAAACTTTATTGTATTTTAATAAGCCGTTTTTAAAAGTACCTATCTCAGTTTTCTCTTTCAACTTAGTTGAAAAAAAACTACTATAACTGCATATAAACGGCATAACTAATTTAAATGAGACTTTTAATACATGACTCATGAATAGAACAAAAGTATTTTTATACAGTTGTGCCTTTTTGTGCTATTATATTTTAATTAAATTACATAACAAGGGCACAGTTCCGTACATTACCTACTAAGTAAAATCCTTTGATATTAGTGCTTTGGCAGAGTTGTGTTTATGTAACGTTTTCTTATCAAAGGAAGCATAATTATTATATACATTAGTTGATGTGGGAATTTATCGAAGGCGATGTTTAAGGAGCCTGTCTTTATTGGGGTGACATTTTCTAACATCGAGTATATTATATACTCGATGTTTTCTAATCAACAAAAACTTTCCTTAAAAAAGTAATAAACGTCAATTATTCCTTGCGACCTAAAAATCTGATTATTAAAGTCAATTATGCCCTGTAAATATTTTATGAAAACGGTAATTAGATCTAATTACCGTAGACATGGATACGGCAATTAGAAAGTTTAAACATTTTTAAGAAAAACTGACTATTTCTGACACAGCGGAATTATTATTTGTGTATTTTGCTACATTTGGTTTATTTCTACTGATACATGTGCCACTCAAGATTATTAAAATAAATTTGAAGTAGGTATTTTTAATATCTGGTTAGTGGTAATGATTAAAAATTACTCCAATTGTTTCTTATGATTAATCACAGTTGTCACAAGAACAATATAACAATTAACATTTTGATTATTTTATTATGAAAACTAACGCGGTTATCACACATTATAATATGAAAGTAATGGGTCTTATTCGCGTAGTATTTTAGTCGGAAGCGGTCCGACTAGTTTCGACCATAATTATGGTCTTCAGGGGCTGAGTGCAACGTTCGCGACCTTTGATTATTTCTGCCCATAGAAGTTTAAAAAAACATTAAAAAAATATTTTCTATCGATGTAATTCATTACAAAAACTGTAGAAAATTAAAATCAAATTTATTTATATGTTGTTAGTTGCGCTTCATAATTTTTATTTTTATGTTTTCTTAAAAATGTTTGCACTTTCTAATTACCGTACACAAGGCTATGGTAATTAGATCTAATTACCGTTTTCATAAAATATTTGTGTCTTTTCGTAACTACTAAGGTATTTTACGTGAAGGTACGAATGTGAACATAAAAAATATGTACATAAGTACGAATCACAGTCGCGAGTACTTCGATCTCATTGGCCATAAGAAAACTCGACACTAGAAGTATTATGGCCGGTTGAAACGAGTTAATGCAGTGGAAAATAAAAGTGCATTCGTATCTATTTTACATTTTGATGCACTACGTTTGAACATGGTTTGAACTCGAACAACTCACCAAGCAACGTATTTCTACTTACTACTTTACTTCTATAAATACTCCTTTAATGATTTGCTTAAGTGAGGCTACTTATTTAAGTAATTTTTGGCTTAAAGACAAAAAATAATATTTTGTCTATAGCTTGTCCATAGCACCTAGAAGAAGGTCCATCTCTTGATGCACGTCACGCAGCAGATTCATGATTTGTTTCGGTGTGTCCAAGATGTCAATACTCTGAGTGTAGGGATTATATCGCACGCCGAAGTCACGTGGAATGGTTCGGGAAAATTTTCTGATACAAAAATACGAAAAACTGTTTATTTTGCTTCGAAAAGAATATTATATGTTTCTATTTTAGTGTAAATATATTTGTTGGAATCAGCAATTGACACTTAATCTTAAATACTTACATCATTTTAGCTTTGGCATCTTCAAAACTATTAGCTACGAAGTACACGGGCTGGTACTCCGTGATAGGGTATTTCTGTTCGCCTGTGACTTCAGGTTCAAATTCTTTAAGCTCAGGACGGTCCGACAAGCAGTACTGCAACTCTCCGAATGAAGACAGAAGACCAGCACCGAAAGCTTTTAGCTTGCCGTCTTGTCGACAGAGACCGTATTCAACGGTGAACCAGAAGCACTGCAATAATCGTTTATCAAAAGTAAAATTTGAGCTTTGTTTTAGTGCAATTCAACTAATTGAAAATATTATAATTAAAAACAATTCAAATTGTCAAATATTGTTAATATTGTAAGTTGTTAAAAATATTACCGTAGCCAGTTTTTCAATATAATCATCAGGAGCGCCCAATGAGGCCAACCCTATTTCCTGTGAAAACTGCGCAAAAGCCGGATCTGCGAAAAGAGGTGCATGGCCGAGAAGCTCGTGACATACGTCTGGCTCTGGGGTGTATAGTGGCCGAGATGGGTGACGAATGTACTGGGTGCTGTGAAATACTCGGAAAGCTAAACCAGCGAGGAAATCACGAGACGATAGAAGACCAGCCACTGGTCGGAGCGTGAAACCCGTACAATCTGTAATGTTTATACATATTATTGAGCACGTTCGAAGCCACGGGATACTAGTAAAATAAAATTGCGTAAATTACGTGCAAGTAGATACCTTTTAAAAAGTTCGACACGTCTTCAATTTGAGGGATATTATCCTCCCTGTATCTACAATTTTCTATCAGAAGAGGGAACACGTGATTGTGTTCTTTGCAAGCATGCGTTGGGTACAGTGCAGTCAAGTTTCTGAAGACAATACCCCAAGTGGCTATTTCTTCCTTTGTGTAGTCCACATGAGGGAGAGGCTGACCGTACTTGTAATTGTATGCGATGTCAGCGAAATATTTTCTTCGAGCGCGATACTCGGGATCAGTAAATCCAGGATGGTCAGAGTCTAGTTCGGCCCCGTATGAAAGGATCTGATTAGCAAACCGATCCAAATCACGAATACGCCGAGGGAACCACGGGACGGCAGCTGCAAAAGTAATTTCAATTATAATAAAGACTTATGATTGTTTCTCTAACCTAGACTTTCAATAATTATGTGCTTACATCTGTTATCTTTGTAATTCCTCGAAATTATTTGCAAGTATCCAGTGTTCTTTTTTAATTCTGCCAGTGTAGCTCCTAAGTCCCCTGTGCCATGTTCACATTCCACCATGAATTCATAGCCTAGTCTTCTTGTGGACGACCTGGACTCAATATGGCTGAGGTTCACGCCGTAAGAGGAAAAGATGCTTAAAAATTTGGCCAAGCTACCAACTTCATCGGGCGTCTCAGGGGACAACAAAAGCCAAGTAGATTTGTTAGAATCACGGCCTTCTCGTATATAGTTGCCTCCATGCATAAGTTTTGGCTGAAAAAAATTACAAGTAATATCTGGTTAGATGTTTATTGACGTTTAACGACGCATACATAACGACATAAAACATGCACTTGTCATGGATGATGTAATAGATAACTACCCTAACATTTAGTTCATTTCGAAAATTACTTTGATAACCTCTGCTCCGAGCTTATGTCGATGGCCGATATATAGCTATTTAAAAACAGCGATACGATAAAGTAACTAAGTAAGTAGTAAGTACGATAAAGTCCATGTTATCTCTATATACTGGTAATATGTGATTTATAATCGCGTGTGTGACATATATATTGAAAACACAAAGCTGTTCGCAGATAACGTAAAAGACTTGATTGACGCGTTAACTGTCGGATATTTTGATGTTGATGTAGATTCTACAATTTATCGACATAATATGTTACATACACGTGCGCTTATTTTATATTTTATGTTAAGGTAACTACAATTCATTACTTAGAAGCCTACTCACTGTATAAAACAATAACAAGTACTACAACCTAAGAACTCGATAAGTACTACATGTAAAGGTTGATGTTGAAATGTATTGAAGTACCTTGAGTAAATCAAAGAGAAATAATTTTACCTAAATAATCTTGTTTTACAAAGTTATTTGCTGCAAGTTTAACGATATTACGGCCTAGTGAATAATAATTATTCATTATACCGTAGACGGTACCGGTTTTCTGTCCCAATTAATATCGAGTTTGCCTAGAAATATAATATTAAATTAGTTGATAGTTTATACTGCGACATTTAATATACCTACGTGTATAGATACGCAGAGATTGGTTAATATAAAAGAAAATAAAATAATAATTATATACAGAATTACCAAAATGGTTAGTACCGACTAAACTAAACAGATGTAATATAACAGATAAACAAGGAATGTATAATTTATATTTTTATGGTAAAAATAAGTGCGCATTTGACCTCCATATCACCTGATGGAAAGTGATGATGAGCATGCACACCTGTACATATAATGCTTATTCACTTTCGTCTTGAAAAGACCCAAGTTCCAGCGTTCACGGAACATATCTTCAGACGGGGAATTTCACTTCAATGTCGTTTGCCTCGTGTCGTACCCACAATATAGGGGTGGAACTCCAGCCTACGTCTAGCTCCCCGATGATAGGAAAAATACAGTGAAAGCTAAAAACTAATAAGTTCTTACATTTTTATACGATTGTTAAACATAGGATCTTAAACGATTCATGCCCTTTACAGGTCCCATGGTCACGGTTGGCTGAGACTTAAAAACTAAAAGCAAAACTCAAATAAATAAATTGAGTCCCTGTGGCAGCATTCCCTATTTGCCTAAACTGTAGAAAGTTATTTACTTTTGAACTCATAATGATATATCTCAAACAAAAGCGCATATTACAAGTAACCATAATAGTAAGGTCACTTATATGTGTAAATATGTAACACTTACAGTAATTAATACATTGTTGTAAGTACTACATATCCAGATATAAGCGAAATCAAATAGATATGGATAAATCATTGGTAGTTGTCAAGCCATATGTAGAAATAGTAATGACTCTACAATGTATATAAACATTTCATTAGTCGTAATGAACTGAAAATAAATCCTTTGAAAACACGGCAAGTTGGCAAAAATATTTTGACACACTGGGCTAATTTGGGTTTCTTCTTATATCTTTAGTTTCTTTTCTTGTTAGCTCATTACTGCGTTCCGTTTTGTAGAATAAGGGTGCTAGTGAAATTACAGGCACATGGGACTTGTCAACTTACGTCTCAGGGTGACGGGCGCAGTAGCAGTGCCCCTCAGATCTTTGCGATTTAAAGCTCTAAGTGACACTGCAACTGTTATGGACAGGCGTGTAGCTAACCATTAGGTGCACGACTAATTCGTCCCGTCACTTGATATAAAAAAAATATGTATTATTTTTCGGTTTTTTGCATTAAGTTACAAAGTATTTAGCAGTTTTTAATCAAATTTCGTAACACCGTTCTCCGTGTCGTTCAGGATAATAAATGAAATATTTACCCTTAGACCTACTTAAAAATCGCAATAAGCATACGCGTTATATGTATGAGATATATATATATATATATATATATATATATATATATATATATATATAT